GTTCTGTTCTCTGTTCTGTTCTCTGTTCTGTTCTGTTCTCTGTTCTGTTCTCTGTTCTGTTCTCTGTTCCCTGTTCTGTTCTCTGTTCTGTTCTCTGTTCTGTTGTCTTTTCTGTTCTGTTCTTTGTTCTGTTCTCTGTTCTGTTCTCTGTTCTGTTCTCTGATCTGTTCTCTGATCTGTTCTCTGTTCTGTGTTCTCCATGTTCTCCGTGGTCCACAGGCCGCGAGGCAGAGAGAGCGAGGGAGCGTTACGACAAAGCCACGTCGAGGCTCCATAACCTCCACAACGTGTACGTGCTAGCCGTGTGCGGCGCTCGCTCCCAGCAGGAAGAGCATCAGCGCCGCGCTGCTCCTGCTCTGTTGGACGCTCTGCAGAGGATGCAGGAGGACATGACCAGAGCTCTGTGAGTCACATGACTGAGGCTAACACGCAGGCTAACACGCAGGCTAACACACAGGCTAACACACAGGCTAACTGACAGGCTAACTGAGCCTATCTGAAGCTAACACAGGCTAACTGAGGCTAACTGAGGCTAACACAGGCTAGATTTTGGAGGGCCAGAAAACTGTGAAAAAGTACCCGCTAGCCTAGAAACGCAACCAAAAACTGGCCGGGCACGGCACGCTTAAACCGTGGCTAACTGAGGCTAACTGACAGGCTAACTGAGGCTATCTGAAGCTAACACAGGCTAGCTGAGGCCAGCTGAGGCTAACACAGGCTAACTGAGGCTAACTCATGCTACTCAGTCTAACTGACAGGCTAACTCATGCTAACTCATGCTACTCAGTCTAACTGACAGGCTAACTCATGCTAACTCATGCTACTCAGTCTAACTGACAGGCTAACTCATGCTAACTCATGCTACTCAATCTCACTGACAGGCTAACTGACAGGCTAACTCATGCTACTCAGGCTAACTGACAGGCTAACTCAGGAGTACTGATGTGTGTACTCTGTGTACTTGTACCTCAGTAAGAGTATTCTGCAGGAGTACTGATGTGTGTACTCTGTGTACTTTAGGGTGACCAGACGACCCCGTTTTCCGGGGACAGTCCCCGTTTGTATTGACCTGTCCCCGGTTGAAACTGTCCCCGGAAATGTCCCCGTTTTTTAAATATACGTTAAAAACACATAGCAAGGTGAAATAAAACGTTTCATGTCAGGAAACACTGGGTAAACAGACTGTGGTCAAGCCAGCCCCCACTTCGAAAAACACAGTCAAGCCAGCCCGCATGTTGTATTGCGGTGCGCGAGTATCCTATGCATTACGGTAGAGGCATGTAAAAACTGCCTTCAAAATAAAAGCGTTTACTCGGTCAATAACAAATATACCTAAAAAAACACACCAAACATATTCATATACTGGAGCTTAAATCAAGAAATATGTACAATATAATGTGATCAATAATAATTTAAAAGAAACTACGTATAAGCAGGAGACCCCATCTAGTCAATCAGAGAAAATCCGGACAATCTGATGTAGAGTTTCAAAATAAAATACTTTTGAAATCTCATATATGGGCTATCGTCCTTCTGTTTTTATACAAGAATAAATAAAAAACTGTCAAATTATCAAAGACTTATTTCACTCCAGGGTGATAGTAGGACACCCCATCTAGTCACTCAGAGAGAATCAGGACAATCTGAAGTGAAGTAGAGTTTCAAAATAAAAGACCTCTGAAGTCTCATATATGAGCTATCATCCCTCTGTTTTTAGATAAGAATAAAACAAAAACTATCCAGTATCAAAGCCTTATTTCACTCCAGGGTGATAGCAGGACACCCCATCTGGACAATCTGATGTACAGTTTCAAAATAAAAGACCTTTGAAGTCTCATATATGAGCTATCGTCCTTCTGTTTGTATCCAACAGTTCAAATGTTCGAATTACATTGAACCAGAATTGTCCCCCTTTTTTCTTTAACAGTGAAGAAAAGTGGATATGTTAATGATATATTGACCGCAAAACTCAAAATGTCCCCGGTTTTAATTTTGAAAATCTGGTCACCTTAGTGTACTTGTACCTCAGTAAGAGTATTCTGCAGGAGTACTGATGTGTGTACTCTGTGTACTTGTACCTCAGTAAGAGTATTCTGCAGGAGTACTGATGTGTGTACTCTGTGTACTTGTACCTCAGTAAGAGTATTCTGCAGGAGTACTGTGAGATCAGCAGTCTTCTGACGGAGGAGATAGTGAAGGTTCATCAGGAGATTTCAGCGTCGGTGGATCAGATCGATCCTCTGTCGGAGTACGAACACTTCATCGAGTCCTACAGGTGAGTCAGCCTGTCGCCGTGGCAACGCCTGTCTTATGGTCGCCATGGCAGCGCCTGTAGTGACATGTCCCGCCCCCCCACAGGTCTCCAGAGACCCCCGAGGCCAGCGTGGAGTTCGACGCGTCCCTTTTGGACGAGACGGACAACCTGCCGGCCAATGAGATCCTCTGGAACACGCTGACCGCAGACAGCCTGCAGGCCATGTGAGCTCCTTCAAAATAACACTTCCCGTTACCTGGCAAAATAAGAGCATCCAAGGTTGCTAGATGCGAGCTATTGCTAGCTGCAAGCTATTGCTAGCTGCAAGCTAACGCTAGCTGCGAGCTAACGCTAGCTGCGTCATTGAACCACAGCTCAAAGCAAACTATAAAACTACAGCCCTCCACTGAGTAATCATTTGACTTGTGGAGTGTTTAAAATGCCTCCTCCATGTTGTTTGTTTGTTTGTTTGTTTGTTTACCTCCAGGTTGTCGTCGGCGACGGACGAGCTGTCGCTGACTCAGCAGAATCTGAGGACCAAGGAGGCGCTCGCTGATGACCTGGATGCTAAAATCCAGACCAGCGAGCAGAGCTCAGAGAAGAAGAGCGAGTGAGTCATAGATAATAACCCCCCCCGTCTAATAACCTGGGAGCCGTAGGGTTGGAGGGGTCCCAGTTCACATCCTGCCCTTGAGCAAGCACCGGACTCCACCCCCCATCCCCCGCTGCTGCTCAGACAGATATAAATAAAGTTATGTTTCATATCTCCCCCCCAGATATAAATAAAGTGTTTTATTTCCCCCCCAGCTGTGTTTTGCTGCTCAGTCAGAAACTGTCCCTGCTGGAGCTTCATCACGTCGTCCAATCACTGCAGAGCTCTGAAACTCGACTCGCCTCCCAGAAGGCTTTGCTGGACGCCAAGATGGCCGCCGCCACCTCGCCGCCCCCACCACCTCCTGCCCCCGCCCCCCCCTACGAGGACGATACTCGCTCTCTGGGATCCACTGTAAACACACACACACACACACACACCCACGCACTCACACACATATACAGCAGGGTTGCCAACTTTGGGTACCTGGCTGGAGTGAGATTTTGATATCATGGGTTTAATTGCACATTTGCGTTGCTTTGCGTTAGTTGATCTAGGAGAAGACACAGTTAGTTTGTTTATGTTTGACAGTTTCTGCAGAGGTGTCAGACTCTTCATTTTTATGTATTATGTTTGTTTTTCATATCTTTTGGGTAGTTTTATATTTGTGTTGGTCGTTTAGCATTGCTTTGTTGACATGTTGCATCTGCTGTTAGTAATTGCACATATGCGCAATAAATGACTGCTATCGTGTCAGCAACGGGACTTTAGCACATATAGGATATATAATATATACAAATACACACACAGTTTCATTCACTAATGAAAGTCAAACCTGTTTGTTTCCACTGTTTTATTGTGTGCCTGTCGCGATAAGCAATGAAATGACTTATCGTACGATAAATAAAAATGAACTCGATAAATTCCCATTTACATGAGGATGTGACGAGCAGCTTATTATCATTATCATTCTGTCAGTGGTCTAACATGGTCATACAACGATCTTAAGGATTGACCAACCGGCTCCCACTGCTCTGCTGTCTGTTAACGTTGTTAAGAGTGGAGGGAGCGGATCCACGGCTCGGGCAGCTGTCAACTCAACATTGTAAATAACCAACCAAAAACCATCGCCCGTTCATCTGGTTTCTGGCGTGAGAATAGTTTGGGCAGCGTGAGAGCGTGAGAGTTGGCAACCCTGGTATACAGTATATTTAACACACATAATTAATATCGGCTGTTAGTACTACAATGCTGTGTGTGTGTGTGTGTGTGTGTGTGTGTGTGTGTGTGTGTGTGTGTGTGTGTGTGT